AGTTTTCCCTGGGTACCCACAAGCGCAGCAGCTCATGGCTGCAATGACTTCTCCCTGCAGGGAAATATCAGAACAGTTTCTTACCCATTTATGCTGCTGCCCAAGAGTGACCGAGTTCCAACTCTGCTTTTCAGCATGTTCAAAATGGACCTTTTAATCCCTTTCAGAAGACTGCAACGGTTTGAAGGTTTACTGTGTGCTCTGGAGGAAAACGCCCAAGGCCCAGGCCTGCACCATGAACTTTCACACCACCACCTCTGCTCTCCCTCGAAGAAAAGGTTAAAATGGAAGACAGCCCCCTGCCTCCAGGCACTGCTAAACAATGGACTGATTTTTCTGCCACCAATTATTGCCCTGGATAAGTATCAAGTATGCAGAATTAGAATTGAACATACATTACTCCTAAGCTTATGGGGCTAGTGACCTACTGGGAAGCTCAGCAGAGCTGCTGGCTGATGCTCCAACCTCCCCTTGCAGGCAGCTGCCTTGTTACTTCTGATCCTTCTCATCACAACCACGGTGCAAGCACCTCCACAGAGTAACACAGCATGAACTTGTGGGGAAAAGCACCCATCACAAAACCTGCTTCTCCTGGCTGCTTAATGCCGCACAGCCACAGCGTTTCAGCGAGTACCACCACAGCTGGGGTAACCACTGCCAATGGCGGTTTTGAACTGCAAAAGCCTCATAGAGCTGCCTGAGTTTTATTAAACAGGCAGACACTTGGTCTAAGGCACAGTGAAAGATCTGCAGCTGCCAAAAGAGAACTGAGAGCAAACGAACCCCCCCGCTTTTCAGGCAGAAGTCGGTATGACTTGAGCAGGACAAAGCCACCATTTCACATCCCCAGCCTCCTGGAATAACACACAATAACCACACACACAGGTACATGTGCACGTTCACCCGCAGCTGCCCCCACAAATGCAGATAGCCCAGACAAACCCAGCTTTGCATCCTGCTGGGGTGACTCCTGAGGTAGGACAGACCGCAGGCTCCGCAGTGCTCTCACAGTAATAAACACTCTAAGTGGAGAACTGCCTGAATGTGCCAAAAACACCCTTACAAGGAGCAATAACGGTTGGATAACAGCCCCTTAGACGTCAAGGCCACTTACAGGTAGAACAGATGCCGACTTCTGCGCTCACACTGCATCCCAGGAGGAGCAGATAAGCTCCTTACCGTGCTGCAGGGAAGGATAAAAGCGAAGACCGAGGCTGCTCGGTGCTGGAACAGCTCCAGAGCCCCGAAGCCACCGCTGAAGCCCTCCCGGAGGCCCCGGGGCTCCCCAAGGCCCCGCCGCGGAACAGGTGGGAGCCCCGGAAGGTCCCGGCGAGCCGCGGAGGAGCCCGGCCCAGAGCCCCCTGCAGGCCGCGCCCGAGCCGCGGCCTGGCGTCGGGAGGCCGCCGGGCCGCACGCCGCATGGCCGGGCAACGCCGGCCGGGCCCCGGGGGTGGCGGGAGGCGGCGCGGCGGCGGGCGGACGCGGCTCCCGGGGCGTAGGGAAGCGGCCTCCGGTGCCACCGCAGGGGCAGCCCTGCAGTGCCCTGATCGGGCGGGTGCGGGCAGCGAGGTGCCCCTGGCAGCGGGACCCCTGCGGGCTGGGCACCGGGGAGCTCCCCGCTACCGCCCGCAGCGGAGGCTTCCGGTGCCCGGGGAAGCGCCGGCCGCGGTCCCGGCGGGAGGCGAAGCGGTGACTGCGGCCGTGCGGCTCCGGCGGCCTCGTACAGCGACGGGGGGCGGCGGGGAGGGAGCCCCGGGCTGCGGGTGGAGAGGGGGAGGGGGACGGCGGCGGCGTCCCCGCGCTACCAGTCTGGGAGTCCCGGGGCCCGCGGTCTGTACTCACGTTGCTCTGCGGGTCGATGGCCTGCAGCAGCCGGTCCCTGATCTGCTGCGGGGAGGGGGCCGGAGCCGCTGTCATTGCCTGGGCGAAGCGGGGCGGCTGCGGCCGGGGCGGGCGGGCGGCGGGGCCAGGCCGGGCCGGGGCGGCGGCTCCTCACTCGCCGGCGGCGGCCTCCTCCGGGAGCCGGAGTCGCATGTTCGCTCCCCGCGAGGCGGGGGGGAGGCGGCGGCGCGGGGCGCGGGCGCGCGGAGAGAGGCCGCGAGGGAGCGACCGGTCCGGGCCCGACTGCTCCGCTCGGGGCCGAACTCAACTGTGGGCAGGAGCCAGCCCCGCGCAGGGCACCCTGGGATACGCCCGACGCCGTAACGCACGGCGCGCCCCTGACGCCCCGCCGCACGCACCGGCGGGCACGGACCACGCCTGCGCCGTGCGGCTTCTGCGGGCAGCGCCTGCGCACTGTGCGCCGCGGGCAATGGCGGCGGTGGCCGCGCTGTGGGGAGAGGACGGGCGCCGGTGCCCGCTGCCCATGCCCGGAGCTCCCCGCCCGTCAGCGGCTCCGCGGGCCCCTCTCGGCCCATGGGAGCAGCGGTGCGCGGGAAGGCAGCGCCGTGCTTCCGAGTGTGCGGGGTCTGGGCTTGGAACCGCGGCAACAGCGACCCCGGCCCGAACGGATGGGTCGTGAGGGGCCTGCAGGGACAGGCCAGGGGAATGGCTTGAACCTGCCAGAGGGGAGACCGAGCTGAGCTCTGAGGCAGAAGCTCTTCCCTGTGAGGGTGCTGAGGCGCTGGTACTGTTAAGTTAAATAAAACCAACCCTAAAGTCCAGGCAGGATGAGGAGGCGAGTTAATTTCCCCAAAACCACCAATACAAAATAGATGTCTCCTGTAACACAATGAACATGGCATCAAGTACATAAATACCCTTAAACAGAGCAACTTTATTCAACCAAATCCAAGATACTTCCAAAATTGATGCCTTCACATTGGCTTACAGAATTATTTTGCTATTTATCCCTTACATATTGCTTAGAAAAATCTTCACTTTGAAATTTTAATTTAAAAAGTATTTTGTTGGAAAAAACCCCAAACCAGAAGTTGTTTTCAATCAGCCTCTTCTATTTCTCCAACAAACCGAACTGGAACAGCGAGAAGTGACACCAACACCTTGCTCAACCTTATGAGGCTTGAGAAGCGTGGCTTGCAAGCGATACGGACAAGGGTGACATTAGGAGAGACATCCACTGAGCCCGCAGGGTTTCAGGACCCTCCAGTTCTCCCCCTGCCTGCTCTAAGCTGAGCAAAACGACTCCGAGCTCTCAATTTCAGTGAAGTTGAAACAATTGCAAAGGGTTTGGCTCAGGGTCCTCAAGGCTCAGTCCCCAGCCAGAAGCAGAGGGCACACACTGTGTTACAGGAGGGGCTGGAGAGGGGGAGCGCGTCAGGAGCTCGCACCGATGGCCAGGCCGCGGGCCAGGGCTGTGTGTGGAAAGCATCATCTTGTACTCCAGAGAAAAGTGGTTCCCAGCCAAAAGTCTCTTCCAAGTCAACAGATGGGTTTGTGGATGGTCTTCAAGATCCAAATAACCTAGCGGAAGGGCCAGAAAGGAAAGAGGAGATGAGAACCAGCTACAACTGAACTATTGGGACTAAAACCTGTTGAGAGACTCTTCTCAAGGCTGATTCCATGCTATTACTTGGTGGGTTCACCTCCTCTCCCCCCCCCCCCCCGATGAAAGCCTTCCCAAAACACTGACCTAAATGGTGTTTTATCTAAGCAACCCCCAACAAGGAGCACTGTATCTAAGGCTAAATGACTCCCATGCTGCAGAGGTTTTCATGCACTAGCAGAAAGCTGTGCGGTCAACCACCACCTCTTTAATGAGTGAAATAAATGAAATAAAAAGGAATTATGGAACAATAGAGTGGCAGAGAAAGAGATCCAAACAGACATCTACATGCAAGAGAAATCCCAGCACATAGGACTTCCTCCAAACGAATGGCACGATGCTGCGTGGCATTACTTACACAATCATACAGAACATCATGAAGATATTCCAGAGGGCAATGAAGATTCGAAAATACCTGAGACTCAGCAGGAACTCCCTGATGTTGTCACCTAAAAATGAAGAGTGACAAATACCTGAGACACTGCCAGGTCCCGTGTTCACCACCACCTGAAAAGCATCAGCAATCCCAGCATAAGGTCAGGCAAACAAAGACCTGGAAGCTGGAAGCTTTGTATTGCTGATCTGTGCTCTGTTCAGTGCATCCCTGTAAGGGCATGTGGCAAAAGGAACACTCAGTGATAAAAGGGGGTTACACTACAAAGGGATGCTAGCTCTTTGCTGGAGTTTACAGCCCTCCTGTGGCTTCTGACACCAAACCCCCAAAATGGGGCTGCCTGCGTGGCACAAAAATGCAAACAGAAATGTGCAACTTGTGTATTTCCTCTCCAGTCCCCAAGCTGGGATCAACACGTTTGTATGGAAGCATTGCCAAGGAAAAATGTCGGCTGCTGTTTAACAAACCGGGCACTCCAGGCCCAGAGGAATTCACATCCGAGGAAAACGAGGTTAAACTTGGCCTTTAGCGCCTCGAAAACGTTGGGATCATGGATTCCCTTCGGGAAACGCCCGCTCCTGTACGCAGCCAGCGCTGGCGAGGGAGGCTGAGCGGGGGGGGACACGACACACCCAGGCCCCTCGCCTGCATCCCCTCCGTTACCGGTCGTGGGCTCCCTCGCCTCCTCGCCGAAGCCCTCCGTGTCCCTCTTCCTCCTGCAGAGAGCAAGGGCCGGTGTGAGGCAGGGTGACAGCCCCCCCCCTCCGTACCGCCACCTCCCTGCCGTGTTCCCTCCCTCCCCGCTCACAGCCTGAAGTTGAGCACGGCCCCGGCGTTCACCAGCAGCGTCCTAAGGGAGAGACAGAGACCGAGCGTCAGGCGCGGCCCAACCGGGCCCAGCCCGGCCGCGCCCGGCCCCCCCGCGCCCGGTACCCGCAGAGCAGCAGGTCCCCGATCATGGCGGCAGCTCTGGCGGCGGAAGCGGAAGGGGCGGGCGCTGCCGCTCGGTGGAGGGGTGGCACCGGGGCGGAGGCTCCGCGTCCGGACACCGGCCGCCGGTGGCGGCGGGGAAGCGAGCGGCGCCTGGGCCTTGCACCGCAGCGCCATGGAGCTGGCGGCGGCCCTGCCGCTCGGGGAGCTGGCGGCCGCCTTCGCGGCGCTGCCCGTGTTCCCGCTGTTCGACACCGCGTACTTCATCGTCTCCGTCCTCTACCTCAAGTACGAGCCAGGTGAGCGCGGCGCCGAGCCTCTGGGGGCTCCCGCAGGAGCGGCAGCGGCTCCGTCCCTGAGGGCCGGGCCGGGGGGGATGCCACGGGGCTGTAGGTGCGCGGTGGGGGGGGACAGCAGCAGCGCTGCAGCCCTGCTTCCTTTGGGATAAACCTGACGTGTGGGGTATGAAGTATCCCCCCCAGCCGGGCCTGGGTGTCAGGGCCTGGTGCTGATGCTTCCGAGGTGCCCCACGTGTCACAATCTAAAGCAGAAACCTCCAGGATTGGGGAGTTTTGAGACTCAATCGTGCTTTTTATTTCACGCTGGATCCCAGCCACATTGGGTTATGGAAGTTCAGTCACTTCTCTGCTGCTGCCCCAGGATTTAGTGTTAACGGCCATGTCCAGCTGCTTGGCGTCTCTATTTCTGGGGCAATACCTCCTCCTATTTATATACAAGCAGGCTGTCAGTAAACCCGTGGGGTTTTTCCACCTGCCAGACCATACCGTAACCTGAGCTTTCACTTTCTGCCCTGCTGCAGCCCGGCTGTGCCTTGCTCTTTCCCAAATGCGCCTTCTCCGTGTGGTTTTGATAGCGTGTGCACTCTTCAGGCTGGTTTCAGTGGTCTCAGTGGAACTGCCTGATGCCTGAGGAGGAAACCCCCCAACGACACCCTTTGGTAGGGGTTTTAAATCCTCTGGTTGTGAAATCTCTGTGCTGTACGATCCACATTCGGTTCTGTTGATACTCCATGTGAACACAAGCGCTGGGTTTTCAAGGCCTGATCACTTAACGCCAGCATGAAGTCCTGAAGGGACTGGTTAACAGGCAACCCTTATGAAAACAGCTTTTACAGCCCCGTAAGCCCTGTAATCCGCTTGGACTGGGTAAAGCTGGGGTGTTGTTTTCACCAGATTCCTACAGTGCTTCATCCCACGGATCCTCTGCTGAAGATCAGTGTCGGGACAGCAATGTCCTGGTTCCTTCTTGGAGACAGCGTGGCCATGGAGCCAAAGAAAAACAAGTGTTACTAAATTAAGCCTACAGGTTCCTATAGAACCAGCTTCATGTCATGGCTCTTGCAGCTGTCTTGTTTCCACTGTGTTTTCAGCTGGATCAAATGTCTGAGGATGGAAGAGTCCGAGCAGTCATAGTTTTAGCATATGCTGATTCACATACTGCTAATTAAGGTCAGTAATGCTGACATAACATTTTAGCATTCTTTCTTTTAATTGCCTGTCACTGGCTTACTGAACAGAGCTTGGTATCTGAAACGGTGCCCGATGGACTCCAGAACAGTTCAAGGTGATGAAACAGTCTTACAGAGCTGATGTTCCTGAGAGACTTCCTTGGAGAAGTACAGAGGTGGCTGAAAATGGAGGAATTAAAAATCAATAGAAGGTTGTGGGAAAAGAACATAATGTACTGCCAGATAGTCACAGTGGTTTAATATCTAGTTGTATTTTCAGCGGGTGTTTCCAAAGTAGTACAAGAGTAGGGAAGAATCCTCAAATCCTCCTCTTTCAAATGAAGATTAAGAATTACTGTTCTATTTTTACAGGTTATCTTATGAATGAATGAGCTAAACAGATTGCTCATGAATTCTAGAGGGCATCTAGGTTGAAGCAATGGAGAGGACGGTGCTAGTTTCACCTTACTTTTAGACTGTACAAAGACATTGATTTCAAGGGGAAAACTGTTCTTTCTGATTGCAGTAAGTAGCAGCAAATCCAGGAGATAAACTCTTGGTCAAATCATACACTTCCAATGACTCAGTTCACTTGAAACCCCATGGGGGGCCCTGCAAGCTGCAATCACATGTATCTCTTGACAATATCTGGTACTTGCTCAGGTTTCAGCAAATACACATCTTTGTATTTTATTTTACAAGTGCTTTTCTTTGACTTATTTTGTTGGAGAACATGCCCCACAAGCCTCCTTCTTAGAAGGCCTTGAAATTTCTGCTTACTTGCTGGATCTACTTTCTCATTTAGCCTTTGCTTCACAGGGGCTGTGGAGATGTCTCGCAAGAGCCCTTTTGCCTCCTGGCTTTGTGCTATGCTCCACTGCTTTGGAAGTTACATCCTTGCTGATCTGTTACTTGGAGAATCACCTATTGATTACTTCAGTAACAACTCCAGTGTCATCCTGGCCACAGCAGTCTGGTGAGTCTCTGCACTCCACCTCATTTATTAAGCATGCGACGCTGCTGGCTGCGTCTAAACCCATCTGCTTGTGTGACACACGTGTATAACCTTCCTTGGATTAAGTGGGGAAGAAGAGGTGGGGTGAGGGAGTCTTTGAGTCTTTTGTATTCCAAGATCTAGTTTCCAGTTTCTCTGACTAGTTGTCTACTGCTTTGATAATACAGGTTGGGTCCAGTCCAACCACTGGGCATTTCTATATATAGCTGCCGCAGAAGCAGCACGCACTACGGATACCACATATAGTAGAGGAATGGCACACACTGGAAATCTGGGGGCATTTTATTCATCATGTTAGTGAAATGTGCACAAATTAACCACAGTTACTCCACATTTCATTTCCTCACTGCATATGGGTTGCATGACAGAACCAGTACTTCCTTCTCTCTGACATAATTCAGGCTAACACTACAGTACACCTCATCAGTCCTCTCTGCACATCTCAGATCAGGACAAACAAGTTGGTCCTCAAATTCTTTGTGGTTTTGTTCCAGGTATTTGATATTCTTCTGTCCCATGAACCTCTTCTACAAGTGTGTCAGCTTTCTGCCTGTGAAGCTCATCTTTGTGGCTATGAAGGAGGTGGTCAGAGTTCGCAAGATTGCAGCTGGGGTCCACCACGCTCACCACCACTACCACCACGGCTGGTTCATTATGATGGCTATTGGATGGGTCAAAGGTGAAAGATGAGATGCTCTAAATGCACCCAGCCCTGTGGGGAGGGACAGGAGAATCTATGAGTGAGGCTGAAGGTGACCACGTCACCCAGTGCTGGCCAGCAGTTACTGGATGTGGTCAGCTGGCTTCCATCAATCATGTTCCCTAGAACACAGGTATTTAGTCATCCTTGCAGAATGGTTGTCAGCTGAGTCATTATCTAACTTTATTGGAGGCAGGAAGAACTGGAATCACTATGAAATATGGGGGTAGCATTCAGGAATTCCTTATTTTCTTATGTGTTTGACTGTCTCTGGCCTCACGCATATCTTTTCAGGGGGCTTCTATCATGTTGAACAACCCAGTCAGTTTTCCTTTAGCTTGTGTTTGGAGCAAGCATTTGAGCATCAGTAAATGCAAGAGAGGCAAATGCTTTTTTCATCAGGTAACACTTTATGGCACATCCAGAAAGCATTTGCCCTGTTTTAGGCTAACTTGAGAAGAACATCATGAACCTTTTGTTCCCCTTAGGTTGTCATCCCTTGGGGATCTAGAAAGACAGCAGAGCTCTCCTCTGCTGTGGCAGTTCTAGTTGTTCATTTTCACTGTTTCACAGGTTCTGGTGTTGCTTTGATGTCTAACTTTGAGCAACTGCTCCGTGGGGTCTGGAAGCCAGAAACAAATGAAATTCTTCGTATGTCCTTGTAAGTAGGTAGCCTGTAAATTCTCTGTCAGCCTAAAAATGGCATTTAAAGAACCATTCAGGACTGGATGCAAACCTAGACAACTTACTTCTCTTGTAGCCCTACAAAGGCTAGTCTGTATGGCACAGTCCTCTTCACTCTGCAACAGACTCACTGGCTCCCTATCTCTGAAGCCAACCTCATCTTCTTTTTCACCATGTTCATGATAGTTTGCAAGGTAAGTTAACAGCAGGCCTACTGCTAACAAACCCACAGAACCAGAGAAAGGGTACACACTTCAACTGGAGGTGTCCACTTTCCTAAGCCACTACTGAAGGCATTGGCTGTACATATCAGGGGATTGCTCAGGAAATTAAGAGTCTAAATTCTCCACCCTATCCAAAGTATGGGAGAAAATCCTTGTGTTACAGCTGAGTAATGTAGCAGTAGGGACTTCTACCTGGTCTAAGTGGAATGCTCCTTCCTAGCTTATATTTCATAGCTGACGTATGTGATCTCTGAGGATTCACTTTTGCATGGCAGGTTTTCATGACGGCAACTCACTCTCACGCCTCACCTTTTGCTCCGGTGGAAAACTTCATCTGTCCAGTTTTCTTCGGCTCCGTTTCCAGTGGACACAGCAGTCACCATCACGATCACCATGGAGCCTCCCATGAGGTTTCCCATCCTCCGCCGCCTCCTGCCAAGTCAAAAGAAGAGCTAAATGAAGGCACAAGAAAACGGAAAGCCAAGAAAGCTGAATAAAGAAGCAACCACACAGTAAATAGGCCAGGAAAATTCTTCCAGAACTGAGTCTCAAAGCCACCTGTGACCTCCTTATCCTCCAATCCTTCTCTCTCAGACTCCAGGAGAGGCGGAAGCCAGGATACTGCAAGGCGGGTCCCTGAATTTCATTTGTGCTCTCTGTGCTGCTGCTGGTCGCTCTATTCTGATCACATTGTTGGGGATTCGTAGGTTTGGGTCAGGATAAGTGGGTGCCAGTTCCCAAGCTGTCAGCAGCTACGATGCAGCTCATTCAACTGATGTAAAATCTTTCACTGTGGTTATTTATGAATGGAGGTGATGGTTTGTGCTCCCACAACTCTTAAATCCCTTAGAGTTTTCATTGACCTTTTTAATGTCTACCAAAAGAACAAACTGTTTAGATGCAATCAATGTGGAAATTGGATTTTATACTCAATGAAATGCAATGAGTCTCACATGAGCCTGATCTAATTTTCCCTAGCTCCCACATCTGCCATATCTCCAATTAATATGACATTTCAGATGCAGTAAGGACACTGACTCTGGTGTCCTGGCCAAGCTCTGTTTCTCTCACTGAATTTCCCTCTGATAATGGATAGAACATTGTCACTTTCTTACCTAAGTCTGTGTTTGCAAGAGCTTTGAAGCTGTGAAACGCTCCGAGTGCTATGTACTGGTACTGTTAGTATTCTACACTGTTATGTAGCGTTGCTGCATGTTGTTAAGTGTGTCCCACCTCAAACCTGATCATACTGAACTAAGCACGTTTGTGGTTTGTAAGCCTGTGGGATACAAGAAGGGTGTGTGAGTGTAAATAAGTATTTATTACTATTTATTTATAATTGCCAGGGCACCTAATTCATGGACCTGAATGTGGCTTTTTAAAAATGGTGCATCTCTCTATAGGGAATAGGATATTTCTAAGTGTGGTCCTGAGCCCACAGCCACACACTGGTTTGTGCCTGAAGCAGTGATTTTGGTGTGCTTTTCACCCTTTATATCTTCTTAAGTGAAGATGTAAAGGCTGAAGAAGTGGATGCCATACCAGCTGATTGAAACTGCTTTAAAGGACTGATAGCTGGAGATGCAGATTATCCCTTGTAGGTCCATTTTGGCCAAACTACTGGTTTGTGAAAACAGCTTGTGCCGTCCCTTGTTCAGAGAGGAACCTGTCAGTTCTGCTTAGTGAATACTGGCTTTTAGACTAGTTTTAAGCTGTTCTTATCACTGATTCTGTTCTCAGAAGTGTCATCATCCAAGGGCTGGGATCACTGCAGTGACAATAGCATGTGTGGGGACAGAGCACTGAGCTTTCAGTTAGGCAGCATGTGCCATCCCTAGCAATAAGCTTTGCTGCTGTCATTTTGCAACTGGGAATGGAAAGAGGATTGAAGGGATTGAAGAAAAGCAGGTTTGAGGTTTTTTGTGTCCCTGTTAAAATGGCACTTGATGGTTAATTAAAAAATTGAATAAAAATCCATACTGTATCCAACCAGCTGGAAGCCAGGACAAAGGCGAAATGATTTGATTCTATTCTTTGATTTGTGGGGCTGGGCTTTGACAGTGCCTTAATTTTGTGAGTTTTCCTCCCCCTGTAGAAAACAGGAATTCCACCTGACAACTCAACTGTCTGGTTCTGCTGCTCTGCCGAAACCTGATGTCTCACTGGCATGCACAAGACTAGAACTGCTTTATGAGATGCCCGATTAAGAGCAATTTTGTTTTATAAAAGCTGCCAACTAATAAAACTTGTGAAGTGACTCTGATTGTGCACTGGCACTTGAGGAAACGTTCTACAGGGCTCCTTTACCTGTACGTACACTTCTTCCTTAAGACTCTGCTCCAACCAGAATGAAATGGTAGCTTGCCATTTCCTAAAGGGATGAAGTAACTCACTTCTATGGCACAGAAATGGGAGTGATGAGGCAAACGTGCCACAGTCGATCTACCTGGCTCACCAGATGAGGATCTGCAAAGGGCTATTTATTTTCTGAGGCTTTCACTTGTCTCCTCCCAGATTTAACTCTTTTCAGATCCTTATTAATACTCCTTAATTGATCAGAACAGTTGAGAACAGAAGTTGCATTGGAACGTGGGATTTAAAGCCTTTGTATGACCCTACTGATGGAAAAGTTCAGTGGGAGCCTTATACATACTTAAAATAAATGCAGAGAAAAAAAAGGCATAAGAATGTTCCATGTGGTTTGACCATTCTCCTCTCCAGTGTCATCACCACGTGGTGCTCAGGACCTGGGCAGGACAATAAACAAGCAGGCTGAGCAGAGTAGGTGTCTCAAGTGCTTTGAAAAAGCCTACAAGGTCTCAAGAGTTTTCTGCTGCGCAGAATGTTCCCAGCTCCAAATCCCACTGTGCTACAGGGCTTAAACTTCCATGGGACAGACGTCATTCCCTCCAAAGATGTTCTGATGTGATAACTTCTGATACTAACTCTAGTGAGAGGTAGCTAAATTTAGCATTAAGTTTAATCCTCAAAGAGGCCCTGGTTGCCTGATGGAAAAAGCAAAGTGTTGAACTTGATGCTCTCAGCATTTCTTGCTGACTGAAAGGTTTCCCTTTTCTGTTACATAGAGAGCGCCAAACGCAGTGTCCACAGCTTTCCCATCGTTGCAGATCAGCTTCGCAGATAGGGAAAGCTCCACAGCCCTTACTGTGTTTGTGTGAAAAAGCCCCAATCCATAGAAGTTGTTTACAGAAAATATAAATTCTACATAGTAAATGAGCTGCAGTAAAAAAAAAGGAGGCCAAAGGAAAGAATTCTCATGCTAAAGAGCTTATGTGAGAAAGGGCAGAGCCAACGCAATCCAGGGCCAAGCTAGAGCAACCAGTGCTCGTTTTCCCCTTTTCCTGTTAATGGCATGATGTACATTCTTCCATGTTTTGTCCAGAGTAACCAAATTCTATAATCCAGATAAGCAGAAAGACCCAGAATGGAAATGCTCCATCCCTAGCAGCGTTCAAGGCCAGGTTGGAGAGAGCCTTGGGTGACATGGTCTAGTGTGAGGTGTCCCTGCCCATGGCAGGGGGTTGGAACTGGGTGATCTTAAGGTCCTTTCCACCCCAACCCATTCTATGATGCTATGGTTGTTACCTTGGCCATCTCCTGAACAATAGGGAACTTGTTCCTTTTAACACTTGCCAGGTGATCAGCTGCCAAACACCTGCACCTCCTTCCTGCAGCCTATTTCATGGCTGTGTGATGCTTCAGAGATATAAAGCACTAGATTGGTGCTGAGTGTCAGTCCAAGTAGCACACAGGACACACAGAAGTGTTACAAATTGCAGCTTTATGCATTTTGCAGCAGCACATCTTCATTTGGGTCCTTCCCTGTAATTGTCTACAGTCCTTCTGCTGTTCTTTAAAGGACCTAACTGGCTACTGCAAGACACAGGACAGGATTATATGGAAGGGAAGGCTGGAATAGCATGGCATGTCCTTTAGATCCCCAGCTTTTTGCTGCAGCCAAGATTTTTTCTCAAGGTATTCTGGTTCTTTGCCAAAACAATGAGAAATCAGAATAAATACCTATAAAAGATACTCTAGAAAGCTCCCAAAGGCATCTGGATTTAGTAGGAGCTTCTTCCATCTCTACTAGGAAGACAAAACAACGATAAGGCAAACTATCAGCAATGGAGAACACAGGCTGTTGATGCCAAACACTCCATGCACAGCGGGCTGATATCTGCCTCTTTAGGATGCTTTTGTCACTGGCCCCAAGGAGATGTGTGTGTCCATCCACCGTACAGAAACACCGGTTAAAGAGGTTTGGATGTCATCAGACACCAAGTGTGGTTCTTACTTCATAAACACCCACAAAATTGCCTCCCAGCTAAGAGTTTAATCCTGCTCTTGTGTGGTCTGTAAAGGCAGCAGCCTGTGAGCAAGCTGCTAGGGGCTCATGGCTCATGGAACAGGCAGACAGTGAGAAAATAAGTTCCCCATCATGCCAGAGCCTGCTCTGAGTCACAGCTGCTCCTCACTTCACCTCTGCAATGGCATCTCTGACAAGGAGTTGCTGACAGTGCCAAGATCATCCTTCATTAATATCTTTGGGTCTGGTCTCTCTTTCACACTTGTGCATTTGCATCTTACCCGTTATCCCTAGAAAAAGTACAATTTAGAGTATTTTCTATCATGATCCTTGTATGTTTCCTTATTGTTCCAAAAGAGAATTTGGGAAGGGAATTGTTTAGAGAGCTCCTGAACATCACCTTTTAGGAAGAATCAGTGTCAGACAGTGATTTCATCTTAGCTTTAGGCTACAGGTAGTCCCTAGCTGTGGAATGCAGGAAAACAGGTCTGATATGTTTAGAGGCTTGAGCATTTGTATAGCCGGAGGGAATCCAGAATGTCCCTGGAAAAGACTTGGTTGATTTTGTTTGGTTTGGATTTGCAAACTACACCAAGCTCCTCCGAAACCAAGCTGCTGCTTTTCCAGCTACCCCAGCCCCGGGGGCTTCCCAATCGAGAGCAGAGTCTGACTTTCCCAAAGCAGACCTGCTAGTTGAGGATTTCTTGTCCCACCGCAGCCAAGTGCTTGAATCAGGGAGTGAGGTAATTTTCTATGCTTCATTAGTGACAAGAATTGGTGTAATCAGCAACAACAACGGGTGGATGCAGTGTGAGGTGCAGAGAGCACATCACGGACTGCAGTGCCTTGAAGAACACTCTAGAAATCCATGACTTTTGAGCCCTAACTGTGGCTCAGAATAGGTTTAGAATAATGTAGGCTAAACCCTAATGTGATGTTTGTCTCTTAAGGTAAGGTGCTGTCTCCCTGCCTGTTTGATTTATGATAGATTAGGATGTTGGTTAATCTCTTCTTATTTGGCTAGATGACTGGAGATTAAGCATGTATTGTCTGCAAAAGGAACCCATAAATGCAGATTACTACGTTTTCTTTAATTATTCCTCTGTGTGCCAGCGAGATACAGAGGGGATACAGAAAGAGACAGTCACCAGCCTCTTAAATCTCATTTCAGGAGAGAGAAGCAGAAAAACCCCAGCAGCTGCTCTGCCTGATACTGGTTTTCTCTGAAATGCTCACTTCAGTTTCCTGTAAAAGGCAAAAAAAAAAAAAGCCACAGAAATAATACATTATGGTCTCCTGCGAGAAAATGGGGAAGCAGAAAGTGGATGTGAGTGAGTGAATCTGCTTGGCTGGTAGAGCACCATCTCTGTTTCCACAGGGCACGGAGACAGCAGCATTTCTTATGGGAAAAGCTCTAGTGAACACGCACAGAAACACATCTCGAAACAGAGAATAGCAACGTGCTGTGAATACTGGAAAAGAGACACTGAAAAGCTCTGTGAGCATGAGGTGGAGATGCCCATTCCGTCAGGGCCTCTGCTGAGATGTCTGCACCAGTTACCTTCTCTCCCTATGAAATCCAAGGGCATCTGGACAAAGATGCTCTTTTTCTGCTTGTTCTCTGTCCAGAGCTGCAGTTTCCTGCTTTGGAGCTCAACAACTGACAGGAGGGTGAGCTCCACAGCAGCACACACTGGCCTCCTCAGTGGGTCAGGGGTGTTGTCCTGCACTACCCAACACAAAACTAGGAGCAAGCCCAAACAGCTTGTGTCACTGGAGTCCTCCTGCTAGCTGGAGTATCCCTTGGGAAGCCTTTTTTTCTTCTCTCCTTTGGATTTCTACCTATTTGCTGGGGGTTTTTTTGTGATTAAATTTTTCTTGTCTTTCCCCATGTCCTTTGGGGATGGTACCGCAGCCACTGAACTCTTTGGGGGATGGTACCCCAAGTCCAAACTTCATTAAAGAGAAAGTATTTATTGTTCACAGCTTAAACACATTTTAGTAAATCAGCTGCATAGAAGGCAAATAGTGACAGGGCATAGGCATATTGCCTGGTATAAAGAAACCTGCTTTAAATGGCTGAGTACCTCAACCATAAATTATACTAGCACCATCAGACTTGCACGATGCTAAAATACAGAGACAATTATTTCTAAGCTAGGCAAAGCAGTAATCAAAGGGACCTCAGGTGTACAGCACCTGAAAGGGAGCACATTTAGTGCCTTAGAAACAGACCCAAGGGATACTCTTCAAGTGACACACACTGGTTGCTATAGAGATATCCGTCCTCTTCAGATACAGAGGGATCGCTCCAGGTTTCACGCGTCTCAGTGCAGACAGTCAACCATTTCCTACCGTTCCTCTCAAAGCAGATGAAATTTTCCCAAGCTTTCTTTAAAGGCAGCTTGCTTGAGAGAGGCACCACAGCCTGGTTTGGGGATGGAGGATGTGCCATGGGATTGGATTTTCACTGCCTTCACCCATCTCCCCTCTAGCTAGCAGCCTCTGCTGAAGAGAGCTCAGAGAGCCTGGACAACAGCAGGAGCTTCAGTCCAGATACATGCCAGGATCTTCTCTGTGGGAAGATGGCTCCTCTTCCTTTCCAGCCCTGCAGCCTGGTCCAAATCTTCATCAGCTCAGTTTTTCCAGGTAAATAAGCTGAAAAGTCCTGAAGCTGCTGAATGCTAGAGTGCACAATGCGGTGAGACTACTGTGCTTGGCTGTAAGCTCAGAGCTTCATTTGAAAGTGAAGAAGCCTATAACCTGCTGCAGTTTTAGACACAGCTTTGTTCTGTCACACCCAATTTGCACTTCAAACATGTCAGAGAGCAGATGCACTAGATGCACTAGTTTAGGCTTCTGCAGTGAAGCCAAATCAGTCTTAGGCGCTACTGTGCAATAATAACTTGGTGCAGTGCCAGTCTGTACCAA